ACAAGGCTGGGAGATTTTAAAAGCCTCAAGAATCTTTTTCAGGTGTTTAGAGATACGTCGTAGATTCAGATGGTTAGGTTAATAGCTTGTTTAGAGAACATTTTCATGATATGCTAATTTTTTGGGACAGGCATTTTGGGTTTTCATGAGCTGTATGCCATAATCATCAGTATTAAAACAATTAAAGACCTGAAATATTTCAGTTGGTGTGCAATGAATCTAAAATATATGAAAGTTTCATTTTTATCATTACATTATGGAAAATAATGACCTTTATCACAATATGCTAATTTTTTGAGAAGGACCTGTACATGCAGCAACAATCAGGAGGAATAAAAACACTAAAAAAACAACTAAATTTTCTGCCAAAAAGTGTCTTACTTTCGTAATTGTGCTTTGAAAAAAAACAAACAAAACAAAGAGGGCTTTAAAATTTAGGTTATCAGTAGAAATCTGCATTTTTGTGGTAGCTCAGACTGTTTGGAAGACATTGAATAAAATCAGCCTCAAAAGGCGTGCAAGAAAAAGTCACACATGCAGAAACAGTTGATAAGGATCTTTGTCAAATGACTTAAAGAGTCACTGTGACTTTTAGACTCTGTATTCGTGTGAATGATCTCTGGTTAGTGTTTTTTGACTGTTCATTGTGGCAAACCAACATTTAAAAAAACTTGTTTACATTGAGGGTGGTGCAACTGGTAGAGCTGCTGCCTCTCAGAGAGCGGGTCCCTGGTTCAAATCCCGGTCCGGAGGCCTTTCTGGGTGGAGTTTGCATGTTCTCTCCATGCATGCGTGGGTTTTCTCCGGGTACTCCGGTTTCCTCCCACAGACCAAAAACATGCATGTTAAATTAACTGGTAACTCTAAATTGTCCCTATGTGAGAGTGAATTGTTGTTTGTCTCGTTTGTCTCTATGTGGCCCTGTGATGGACTTGCGACCCATCCAGGGTGTACCCCGCCCCTCGCACAGTGATTGCTGGACATGGGCACCGGCGACCCCCGTGACCCAAAATGGAAGAAGTGGGTAAAGATAATGGATGGATGGTGAAAAGCAACACAATCTCTCCAGAACAGTCTCTGAAGAGTGTGGGTGGGAGTAGGGAGCATTTTATCATAATGTGAATAAGCAAAAAAAATAAATAAATTGCCACTAAACATTTAAGCCAATAGAACATAAAGATCTAAAAATAACGAGATTGTGTGAACTGCTAACTTATACAGACAACAACTTCCCAGCTCCAGAGATCTAAAGTTTATCTTCCATTTATTTTCTTTACCCTCTTCTTCCTTTCCAGGTCGTGGTGAGACACCCTGGACAAATCGCAAGTCCATCACAGGGACACACACACACACACACACACACACACACACACACACACACACACACACACACACACACACACATACACACACACACAAACAGAGACAAACAACCATTCACTCTCATATAGGGACAATTTAGACAGTACAGTAAAAATAGAGCTTTGTAAATCTGCGGTAGCCCAGACACTGTATGTGTTTGTGAGTATATTTATTTACATATACATGTATAAATATACACATATACATATACACACATATACATACACACACACATATATACTGTATATCCACATATGTGTGTGTATATATACAGTATATATATATACTATATATATATATATATATATATACACATATCTATCTATTTATATACACAAACACACACACACGTATGTAGTATAGATCATGAATGCAGTACTCCTTACCACCTTGTGCATGTGCATATTGTCTTTTTCCAAATTTGTGTATTCTGCTTTTTTTTTATTTCATGTGTTTTTTGTTTTTTTTTGCTGTATAAATAAGAACACGTTACTGGATGTCTCGAATTTCCCCCTGGGATTAATAAATTATCTATCTAGCTATCTAGAGTTACCAATCAGCCTAACATGCATGTTTATGGTCTGTGGGAGGAAACCAGAGTACCCAGAGAAAACCCACACATGCACAGAGAGAACACACAAACCACCCAGAAACTTGCCAGGCCAGGATTCAATCCTGCAACCTTTTAGTTCTAACCACTGTGCCACATGTCTGTCTTGGACACTAGAATCACAGGAAATATGGACATACGTCCAGCTGACATCTAGATATGTATCAGGCTGTAAAAACATCAATTAGTGAATACCAGACTGTCAGGATCCATGTTAGTGTTTTATCTGATCCTTGTGTTTATTTTACTTACTTGTTTCCAGTGTTTGTCTGTTTCCCCAGTTTTGCCTCTGTTGATTCTGCTCCTGCCCCACCAACCTTGTTTCTTGTTTATCACCAGACGTTTGTCCGTTAAGTTCATTAGTGTCACCTTTAAATTCTGTGTTCGTCCATTTGTTCCTGGGTGGTGCTTTGTGCGGTTTATCAGCTCTTATGTTTTTTTTTTTTTTGTATTTACCAGCATTTCTATAGTTCTGCTGCCATGACAGAGCTTTTGATTCTGCAAATAAAACAACTTTTTCTTTATCCTGAACCCCTTGAGTTTCTGTCTGCAGTTTGGTTTTGATTTCTACCTGAGACCATGACATTAAAAAAATAAAAAATATATAAATAGGACTAAAATGATCAAATCTGAGTGTAACTAATACCTATAGTTGCCTTGTATAATTTTTTTTATTGTTTGTTTAAATCTGGCGAGTTTAAGTCTGAAATATCAGACTTTGTTTTTTTTTTTCTTTCTTGTTAACCATATGACTTTCTTAATGTCGTGAATGCTAAATACCTGAATAATTTTGCGTTTCAATCATTTTGATGTTGATCTTTTTGTTCACTGGTGTTTGGTGTGTGAGCTCTGTGGTGAACCCCACCCTTGTTGTTGCTTGTGCAACAGTATTTGAAATTAGGCTTAACTTCCAGAGCAATTTATGTAAACTTTTTCCAGGTTGCCTCCTTGCTTGCCTCATCTTTGCATCAATCCTGATGAACTCACACTAATCTGTTTCCACAATTGGAAATGGTAAAAATGTAAATTTTTCGGGGTAAAATATTTTTTGTTTTTGTTTGCAAACACCCAGATGTTCACAAAGTAATTTGTTTTATTTTTGTACTTTAGATTAACAGCTGTGAGAGAAATACAGAAAAAAAAATTGTTTCTGTTTCAGGTTTGAGTTTCAGTCTGATCATAAACTTTGCTGGACCTCATGACAGATTGAATCCAGGTTTACACGTTCTGTTACTGTAAATAATTGCTTCAATTGGTTACAGATCATTTTTGGGGAGTAATGATTGTAATGATTTAATCTGCATTCAAACAGGAAGTTCATTTAAAATGAAACAGGCATGACATCTGCAGTACTCCATATGTCCTGTAGATGGCAACAACAAGTCAAGGGATTTTTCGAAGCAGACATTTATGGTAAGTTTATGTTATGTTGTTTATTTGTCATATGTAGGTTAACACAAGCTCAACCATGCAATGACATGTCCAGAATGAGAAGAACCGATTCAACTTGATAAAAAAAAATTTAAAAAAAATACTAAAGCATGCAATAAAGGTGAAAAATAATGTACCAAAAAGTTTACAATAAAGGTTAAACTTTGCACAATTTCAATGAGTTAGATTTAAATAAATTACATCAGTTCAACATCACAATAAAGAAATGTTTGCATTTTGTGCTTTGTTGCACAATCTGTTATAATATAATTATTTTACTTAGTCAAAAATTTAAAAAGGTTTCATCACCCCGGCCAAGATGTGAGCCGGTGACTTGCTCATTGAGAGGTGGCAGCTCTACCAACGGAGCCATTGTGCCGTCTTTTTAAAAGGTCATTAAAAAATAAAAATAAAATAAAAACTAGGCAAAGCTCTGCTGAATGCTTTTGTTTCGAAAAGCTAAAAATAAATGAAAGGTAGACCATGAAACTAAAATGCTTTTTACCAACCAGGGCATCTGTAGCATGTGGAAAAACCATACACAGCCACAACAGCCTGGCACCTCCTCATCCTGCTCACCAGCTTGATCACACTGCCGAGAGGTCCCGTCCCACATAGGATTCATCACAAATCCAGGAATAATTACTCGCCGTTAGCTGTGCGGTGCTGGGAAAGCCTGGTTGTCAACATCTGGGGTACCAGAAGCCTAAAAACAAAAATAGCAGAGAAAGGTGTTTAATAAATTGTTTATAAAATAGAAAATGACTATAGCTAAAACCTACAAAACAGCAGAATGGTAGTAAAAGCAAAAGCTAAATGCATCAAAAGGCTAGCTAAGAGCCAAAAGTAAAATGAAAGGTAAAAGGCACAAAACACAAACAAAAAGTACCAAATCTTTAACATAAAGCATCCAAAGTTTAGCTAAAAAATAAAAAGGCAAGCTGATAGTATCAAAACATCAGCTAAAAGCAACAAAAAGACAGCCAAAGCTATATGTATGAAAAACTATCTGAAAGAAATAAAACGCTAATCAAAATCTAAAAGTTGCATAAGGCTAGCTAAAAAAGCAAAATGTTAGCTAAAGTCTACAAATAGCTGAGTGGCAGCTGAAAGTTAAAAAAGTAGCAAAAGGCTATAGCCAAAAGTCATAAAAGAGTATAGCTGAAAGCATCAATGTGCTAGCTAAAAATGAGCTAAAGTCTAGCTAAAGCCTACGAGTAGCTGAATGGTAGCTAAAAGCAGCAAAGGGGTAGCTAAAAGCTAAAAATGGAAGACTAATAAGAAGGTATTTATCAAGCAGATTTCAGAGAATATTTTTGGAGAGCTCATAGAAGTTTTGCAAATAAAGTTGAATATTTAGAAAAGTATAAAAGTTACAAAAACTAAAAACGCCAGCTACATGAATGATACGAGCGTTTAGATAAATCGATGTATAACTTACAAACAAGCAAACTAATTTCTATAGAAATTAACTTCACTGTTTTGTTTTCAACTTGCGCGCGCTCCCCTGCCAGGCTGTCAGCGGCAACGCGCTTCTTATCGGGAGCGCGCGCGGCAAAAAGGGGCGTGGCCTCCCAGTTTCACAGCGGTCGGTGGATGTGAAACTTGTCCCGGATATTTACCTATCTGTACCTGGCTTCTCCCGACCAGCTCCTCCGTACGACGAGCTCTTCACGGCGGGCTCTTCGAGGGATATGACCCGTTTGTAAAGCGGGACCACCGAGGTCAGTACCGCCTTCTTCTCTTAAAAAAAAAAAAAGTATTTAACTTCCCAGAAACCATAAACTTGTGTTTCGAGGAGTGCCGTGGTTGGAGGAAAGTCCTTCCTGTGTTGTTAGTCCTTTTTGAGTGTAGCTTTTCAGGCTGTCAACAGGTTCCTTGTTCGGCTCAAAGTACAGCGAGGTCACAGCTGGGTTTATTATCCAGTCGAAACTTCAGTGTGGGCCTTATTACACTGAAACAGGCCCAGTTTATTCACATGTATCAGGAGGGGGGACATCTGAGTGTTAAACTAGCACAATAGTTTGAACTTGTTCAGCTGATGAGCTTGTGGAAAAAAGTTTACAAGCAAACAAAACAGAAGTTTTGCTTGTCAAAGTTCACAGTTTCCTCTTATAATGTGGCATTAACTTGTAAATTCATTAAAGGCCTGCCTGTGAGGGAAGTTATTATGGAAAACCAGTCATCCAACAGTTTTTAATATATTCAGTGTGTGTCACTGTGTTCAAACATTAACCCAAACTGTGTGTGTGTGTGTGTGTGTGTGTGTGTGTGTGTGTGTGTGTGTGTGTGTGTGTGTGTGTGTG